TGATTGAGGGTGTGGAATGACAGGAAAATTTTCACTAACTAATTCCATCATTCGGTAGGAAATCTGGAAATATAAAAACAATCACAATTCACAGAACACCGTTCCCCTCCTTCCTCTATACTCACAATTTTTCTAAACTATCATTCAACAAGTCAACGCGGAAATCCATCAGATATTTCCACCCCTTCGGAATCCTTTAAAAACCGCGACTTGGAGCGAATCGCTCTCTTCTCACTTCTCATCGCTCCACGACTTCACGGACGGGCCAATCCGAGGTTGTCGAAAAATCTTTTTCTCAGTTAGAATCTGTGCGCGATTCTTACATTTTTCGTGTAATTCGATCCACGATCTAGCCTAGCCATCACACTTCTCGTCCATCACCAGCGGCTGCTACAATAAAAGTAAGTCCATCTTTATCAGTTTTTCTCGCGGTAGACTGGCTGTTTGATTCGCGATCTCTACATACTTGTTTCATTAAAACACTCTAACATTCCAAATTGGCAAGCCGCCGATTAACTCGGTGAAGTTGCCTTCCCCGATTCCACAACATTCCAACCTGGCAAGCCGCCGATTGATTCGATGAAGCTGCTTTATCATGATTCTTCAATTTCTTTTTTTTATCACTCTCACCTCACACTCTTTCTCATCTAATTCTTATTTACATAGTGAACCAAACGAAAGCCATCCTGAACAACCCAACGAAACGGGCATTGCGACACCGTCGGGAGAAGTTGAATAAACGGATTCGTCGCGAAACCGGACACGCCGAGGAACTCGCAGAGCAATTAATAGACATAGAACCGAGACTAGCTAACATCACCTTACAACAGTACGCCACCGCCCTCCGCTCTGCGGCAGATTTTGAACAACAATGTACTCCAGAGAACTTCGACGTGGAGAAGTTCTTCGATCTCATCCGTCAATTTCCTTGCTCTCCCACCCATCCACCTCCTGGCACCTTTTTCATTAAAAGAAAATTCAAACCCGACAGTCAGTTTTGGGATCAAATCTCAAGACACCAAATTAACGATATCATCCCTATGTACATTTCCCGTGATCCTCTTCCCTACCTCGTTCCAGTGAAGGCTTTCCGCAGCGCTCACCCTGATTCCCTTGCCACACCTGCAATCCGATCCCATCGATATGCTCGCGATCACCAATTTTTTGCCCCAATTGGAACAATTGGGTATATAAATACCAGATTTTTTTGTTTGCTTTGTTATTTATTATTATTTGAAATTTACGTATAAAATTTTTTTGTAACCAGTACTTCTACACTTTAATGTATACAGTAAAATTTGCGAATTAACATATTGTAATTCCTTTATTATTATTATTATTATTATTATTATTATTATTATTAAATCAGTTAACTCGAATTCCGTCTCGATTTATTTACTCTAAAACTTGACCCTGAACCATTCACGGCTTCCTGAGGATCGCACGAGGTCCATCCCTGGTAAAAGAGATTCGGTTCTCTGAAAACGGACCACCGATAGCGCTGGCGCAGGTAAGGATTATAACGTCACCGACGCTGACCCGATTCCTGCCCCCTTAACGCGCATTCGACTCGCGGATCGACCTCACGACGTCGTTCCGTGAGATCAGAAAAGGTTCCATGCATCCACCCGAGTTCTCCTCCTCCTGACGAAAGGTATTACTTTTCCTCTAGAACCACGGACGTAACAGGATCTTATTGTGGCTTCGAAGAGCCTGGGATCTCTGTCGTTGGAGATCACTCGAAGGAGTTCGTCTCGAAAAGCTCCTCCAGACGAACACGGATTTCGTGACCTCTGCGCTTCCGTCTCCTTTTCCTCGGCGTCCGTGGACAAGATGTTAGCGTCACGGAAACGTCCAATATAGATATTGGCCGTGACGGAGTTGCAGGCCGAGTTGGTGAAGGAGGCTGTGGACTCGTTTGATTGATCGCGTCGTTGGAGGCTTATGCCAATAGGGACATAGCCTCGTCTGCGTGGCGGCCATCGTTGTATGTGGAAACTCTATAGGAATGAATCTCCACGTTAGGAAGGAGACACCCTGGTCTAAGAGACCTTCTTCAGGTCGCTGAGGTGATGGTCGCGACTGTTGGTGGAGACCCTTTTTGCCTCGATGTTTCCACGGCAGAGCGACTACCGCGGGAGGCTATTGATGTGGCTCTGAAAAGAGCCGTTCAAAGGCCCAGGGAGCGCACTCTGCGATAGAGTACAGAGGCCCGGAAAGCTCACTCTACATCGCAAAAAGGCTAGTACCTTGGCTCTAAAAAGAGCCGTTTGTACTTCTCCAAGAGGCCCAGTGAGCACAGTCCGAGAAGTGAGAAGCGTGCGAGATGAAGAAGGGCTTGTTTTCGTGCTCTTTACATACTGCTCGTGACTTAATCTTAG